ATAAACCACCTTCCCTCTCCAAGGCTATGTCTACACTCGCGGCTTCTTGCGCGAGTAATATGCAAATGAGGCTAAGCGTGGAATATCGCTGAGCCTCATTTGCATACCTAATGAGCCACCATTTTTTTCCAGAAGAGGCTCTTGCGCAAGAAGGAGAGTCTACACTGCCCCTTCTTGCGCAAGGAAAGCCCTCTTGCGCAATGCCGTTCTTCCTCTCAAGTAATAGGTGTAACGGCCTTGCGCAAGAGGGCTTCTCTTGCGCAAGAAGGGGCAGTGTAGACGCTCCTTCTTGGGCAAGAGCCTCTTCTGAAAAAAATGGTGGCTCATTAGGTATGCAAATGAGGCTCAGCGATAGTCCATGCTTAGCTTCATTTGCATATTATTCGCGCAAGAAGCCGTGAGTGTAGACATAGCCCAAGAGGGGGTCACTGTGATGCATCATGGGAGATATGGTCCAACCTGGGATCCTGGCCTATAGAGAAGAATGGGAGCATGCGGCAGCTGCACTACGACCCCCATGAGGTGCCACCACAGTGCTTCCAAATCGTCCTCTTTCCAAAAAATCCCGACTGTTTTCGGTCCGCCCCAGTAAAGGAGCCCTAATCCCAATACGAACTGGTACTCAACCAGACAGTCCTGTCAAGGCTGAAGAGGCACTGCGTGCCATGGGCTGGATGCAGAGGCGTTAGCAGCCCACACCCACTGCTGGGCAGATAGCCAGCCCGTGATTTGTTTCGGCAGGGTGGTTTTCCTCCCTTCTGCTCTCCAGGCCTTTGTTCCAGTTTCTCCTTCCTGTTTAATTGCAGCTGATGACAGTCCCAGATGTTGCTGCATGTGTAATGCCGACAGGCAGAACTGAACCTGGGAGCGCATGAGCCTCTCCCGCATGAACTCAAAGGCAGCTGGAGCTCAGCTCAGGCTGTAGCAGACTCACTCTTCTCTCTGTAAATGGTCTCGGTGCCACTAGATTGGACAGGGCCCTACCCCCAGCAGGTATGTGAGTTACATCCACTCTGCTGCGGGACTGGCTAGGGCGGCAAACAGAGGTTTTCCCTAAGCCACAGCCACACACCTGGAGGTTCTGCCAGGACTGTAGGATTCTGGGGTAGTGCTGCAAAGGAGCCATAATCAGGGTAACAGCAGGGCCCTGCCAGGCCAGGTGAGTTCCCACCAGCCAGCCTCCTCCATCACAGGCTAAGCACGTAGCTCAGGGCTGCCGACTCACTGAGACCCACTTCTGTGGGAAGGGATGGTTCCATGTAATGGAACATTAGCAAGGGCTGAATGGCAAGGGGGTAAGCCAGGAACCAGGACTCCTGGGTTCTGTCCCCTGCTCTGGGGAGAATGAGCTAGCAGTTAGAGTGGAGGTATGTGAATGAGGGCTTCTGATTTCTGCATCCTGCTCTGGGGAGGCAGGCTTAGAGCACCAAAGTCAGGACTCATGGGCTCTCTTTCAATCTTCGGGAGAGTCTCGTCTCGCAGTTAGAATCTGGAAACTAGACAGCTGGGCTCTTCCTTTGACTTTGAGCAGGCTGAGTCCCGACTGTGCCTCAGTTTCCCTATATGTGAAATGGAGCGAATGATCCCTGCCTCGAACTGCCCCTGGTCATCAGCTAGCAGTGTTTCCTTAGGAAAGGCCAAAAGGCATCAGCAACCTCCCTGGTACAGTTCTCCCCGGGCCTAGCCTGGGCTTAGACAAACAGCTTGTAAGTAACAAGGTACTTGAAAGTGTGTGATGGAGAGTTGGGAGGGGGCTGGGCTTCTGCGCTGGCCTGTAGTTGTTTGTCTAATGGACTTAATGAACCCTAAATAATTACGGGTCGAGCATCTACAAGCCTGGCAGTAAGTGCCTCACCAGAGATGAGGGATCTTGGATGGGTGAAAAACAATTTCCATCATCAGCATGTCTCCAATCAGGTCTGTACTCAGGGCTCCTGCGCATTCGGGCTGGGAGCTGGAGAGAGGAGATCCCTACCCAGCAGGGCTGCGCTGGCAGGAGTGAGGAGAGGAGATGCAGCTCTACTGGCCCAACTACACCTTGTACCAGGAGAGCGTGTTTCCCCTGGAGTGGGAGGGATGGAATAATCTATGCCAGGAAAAAAAATCTCAGCTGGGATCACTGCCTCTGTTCTGGGTGTGTTTTGCCTGTGTAATATACTGTGGCAGCTGGAGCAGCAAAGTGCCCCTAGCATAGACCTGGCCAAATTTGGTAAACTTTCATGGCACAGATTCTGCTGGGCTTCTGTCTTCCAAGTGCTGTGCAGGTAAGTCACTGACCTTCCAAAGGCAAGCCCCATGATTATCCCTATCCCTGCCGGAGAGATGGGGAAACTGAGGCATGGCCTTGCTACCCTTTGCAGGAGCTGCGAGTGCCACTCTAACCACTAGACAGCACTCCCCTCCCAAAGTGTAGAGCAGAACCCAGGTGGCCTGACTCCCAGTCCTCTGCTCTAACCACTAGACTCCATTTTCTCCCAGAGCTGGGACTAGAACCCAGGCCTCCTGGCCCCCCTTCCTGCTCCATCCGGGAGGCCACCCCTCCTCTCCTTTAAAAGCTCCGTTTCCTACGGAACAACCACTTGCGGCGGCTGCTTCCTGCCTGGCTGGGAGGAGCAGGGGAAGGACCCTGGAGCTGTCAGGACCTGTCTTCTGCCGCTGGCCCGTCTGGTTCCCTGACTCACTGTGAGTGACACTTCCCCACCCCAGCCTAGGCGGCTGCCAGGGTGAGCCGGCAGCCTCTGCTCGCTGGTGCGCAGGCTGGACGCCAGCCCAGGAGGGAAAGGAACTGAGCAAGTGTCCGGGAGCAGCGTGAGCCCGGGAACCGGCCCCGCCGGCTGGAGCGTGGCTGTACATTCCAATCCGGGGTGGCCTCCCAAGACAGCTCCGATGGGCACCGGGCACTGGCACCGGAGCCCGGCCACCCAGCGCTGCGGGGATCTGCCAGGGGCTTAGCTGCCAATGAGCTGCTTCTGCCCGTGCCCTCTGGCCTCAACCCAGCAGAGGTAAGGTGGAGAATAAGCAGCTGGATCCCGCAGGGCAGGGATCCACGAGGGGGGCGCAGGACCCAGGGGGAGCGGCTCTGAGCTGCGTACTAAGCTCACAATCTCTTATCTAGTGGGCTGGGGAAAGCGCCCAGCAAGGGGGTCTGAGGTCTGTGGCGAGGGCTAGAGAGGGGACTTGAAGGGGCTTCCGCTCTCTAGAAATACAGGTCCAGGGGGGCTTTGCGAGCTGGTGCTCAAAGGGAGGGAGGGTTTCTTTTCGTTCCCCTTATTTAAAATCCCTCCCCCCTCCCCAGTGTCAGGCCCTGGGTCCCTTCCCTCGCTAGCTTGGGGGCTGGGCGTCGCCTTTGTGGCTGGCGAAAGCGCCCTCCGGAACTGCACTTGCCTCTCCCCCGGGTTATTAGCTGCCGTTTGTGCCACGGAGAGAACAAAGTTCAGGGGGGCGGGGGAAGGCTGAGGCTCCGCGGAGTAACACAAAGCTGGGGCTGGCGATGATCTCTCCTGCCCAGACAGCGGGGCCTGGCCGGGCATGGGGATGGGCACCTGGACGTCTCCCCGCCCCGCCCCTGCGGCTGCCTTTCTGGACTCGGAGAGGCTCTAAGTGAGGCAGGAGCCCGAGTGGCTGCGAGCAGGGTCAGGGTGTGATCCTTTCCCGCCCCAGGGGAGCTGCGAATGCCCCACGTTTCATAACCTCCTCTTGCCCCACCGTTCCCAGCAATGAGCGCGACGGCTCGGCGTAGCCTCCGCAGGTGTTGCAATCTGGCTGGGAGGGGGAGGAGAAAGGGCCGTGGGGCTGGCGTTGGGGTTATAGCAGCCAGTCTCTCGGCAGTCAGTGGCTTTTGAGGCCGCTCCCTGGAGTACAGGGGGAATCTGCGCCTTCCTGGGAGCGCCTCATACAAATGCCCCAGCTGCTCCAAACAGAGCCCTTGTGCTTCTGGAGGGCTGGGGCTGCAAGGACTCCACTGGCTTCAGCCGGCTTTGGATCAGGGCTTGGATCCGGCCCTCTAAATTCAGCCCAGACCACTGAGACCAGCAACGCATGTTCCCCAACTCTTTGGGCACGAGCCACAGGACCTGGGCAGTATGGTCTCTGCAAAGGGCTTCCTTTGGGCAGGGGAGGCCCTAGACTAGCTGCCAGCAACTGGCGCCCTAGGTGAACCATGAAATCGGCGCCCCCACCTCCAAACCCCTCAATGATATTGCACCACCGTTTGGCGCCCCATTTAACTTGGCAACCGCTTAGTTCACCTATATGGACGGGCTGCCCCTGCCTCTGGGGCTCCCCGCCCCTGGAAAGGGCGTGAGAAGTGAGTGACGGGGGAAGGGAGGGAGGCCCAGGCTTCGGGAGTGAGGGATGGCAGAGAGGGGCTTGGGATGTGATGAGGACGAGATTGCTCGGTAGGCATCAGCTGGAGTGGGGGAGGGAGGCCTGCCCTGAGCATTGCTAAAGAAAGCGTTCGTCTGGGCATGAAGAGGCCGCCCATCAGCACCAATCTGAGCTCAAGGAGTTGCCCCATCCGCTGGCAGCAGCAGTAGGCTCTTATCTTGCACGTGGGCCTGAGGGGACACACGTGGCATGCCTACCCCGCATAGGGGGCGTGGCCATAGGGCCTCAGGGCCAATAGGGGGTGGCATGTAAATTAGAGCAGCCTTGAGGCTGCTCCAGTTGATATGGAGGATGGCTGGGCACCTGCACATGCTTC